CAAACATTGCTGATAAAAAGTATAAAGATAATATAAAACAAAAGATGAAGCAGTTTCTTAAGAGAAATAAAAATATCTACAAAGAGATTTAAGAGTAGTCATAGCATAACCCATCAAAATGCAAATATATAAAACAGTAGTTGTGTTCATGCAATGGAATTACTTAGGAGAGAGCTTAAGGTAAAGTTTCCATTGTGAAAGCCTAATTAAAAAATATAAACATAATATTAGAGAACAGAAGAAAACCTCAAAGAAACTAAAGAGGGAAAAGACAATATTAATTGAACAGTGGCACAAAAAAAGTAAGAAAATATTTAGCAAGTTAGAAAAAGTTCTTTTATATATACAAAATATAGTAGCTGAACCAAAATATTCCATGGGGAGATTGGAAGACAAAGGAAATAACCCAGAAAATAGAGGTAGGAAAAAAGGCAATATGAAAAGGAATCTTTGATAACCAATCTAGCATAATATGATCAATAATATTTCTAGAAAAGAAACCCTAAGAGAAAATTTTTAAAAATTTCCAACAGAGCTGTTTTTTTTTTTTTTTGGGGGGGGGGGGCGGGGGGGAGTGGGGGTAATAGGTATTGAACCCAGAGGTGTTTTAACACTGAGCCACTTCCCCAGTCCTCTTTATCTTTTATTTTAAGATAGGGTTTCACTAAAATGTTTAGGGCCTCACTAAATTGCTAAGGCTGGCCTGGGACTTTGAATCCTCCTGTCCCACTTCCCTAGAAGTTGGGATTACAGACACACACCACCACAGCACCCAGCAAAAGAGCTACATCTTTATCTTTAAACTGAAAATGTCATGCCTATAATCCGAACTACTCTAGGGGCTGAGGCAGGAGGATTACAAATTTGAGGAGAGCCTTGGCAATTTAGTGAGACCCTGTCTCAAAAAAACAAAAAAAACTAAAAGGGCTTGAGATGTAGTAGCTTGGTTTAAGAAAACAAACAAAAAACCTTACAATAATGGCAAAGACAAGTTCAGACCAGCAGAGAGGGAAATGTTGGATTTGGAGCAGGAACCTCTTAGCCAAACATACAAAGAAAACTAAAACAATTTTGTAATTATTTACACTGGGGGAAAAATATTAAAGAAAAAACAGAAACAATTATAAGCACACTATGGCCCAGGGGTAACAAGACTTTAGTCTTCATAAAAAGAGATTAAATTATATGAAAAACCTATACTATAATGATGAAGGAATCGAACAGGCATAATAGTATTCTCTTCTACCATAATTAAGCAAATGATAATGTTTAAAATTTCCATACAGGGGTAGTATTCAGAAATATGGAAGTATGTTACATTAGAAAAAAAGTTTATAGAGACATGACTGACATATGTATCAGTTTAAGACGAGTATTATTTGACTTTTTAAAAACAATGTATATGTTACTTTAATATAAAACTTCATGTTTGAATAAAAGCAAAAAAACTGACAAAAATTAGCACCACCTATTTGCCAGGCACTGGAAATATAAGAGTGAATAAGACCAAGTTAATTCCACAAGTTTATTTCCATTGAAAGAAACAGAACAAGTAAGTAAATAAACATAATATGATTATGGATATAGAAAAATATTATTCAGAAAAACAGTAAAGACACAGAGAGTGTTAAGACAGGAAGAGTGCTGTTTTTAATAAAATGACAAAGAAAGTCTTCTAAGGAATGGGGTGATCAGAAATCTGAACAAATTAATGGACTGAACCATGCCAAGGTATGGATAAATAATGTTCTAGAAGATTCTGGAAGACAGGGAGCAGACAGATAAGTTTAAGTTTGGTAAATGTAAAACCAGCAAAAAGTCCAGAATTAAGAACAGAATAAGCAAAGTGGAAAAATGTAAGAAATAAGATTTAAGAGGTTAGAAATGTACAATAACACTCATAAAAAGATGGACATCAAGCTGGATGTGGTGGCACATGCTGTAATCCCAGCAACTCAGGAGGTTGAGAAGGGGGATCACAAGTTTGAGGCCAGCCTCAACAACTATGCGAGGCTTTCAGTAACTTAGTGAGAAGGGGGAAAAAAAGAACTGAGGATATAGTATCAGTGGTAAAGTGTGTCTGGGTTCAATCCCCAATATAAAAAAAAAAAAAAAGGAAAAGAAAAAGAAAGTTAGATACCAATGCTCAAAATGATAACATGAAATTCACCAATAAGAAAGAAATGACTAATGAAATTAATGTTATTGTTATTTGATTATGAAAATGAACAACAAAAACCTCATTTCATTTGTCTTTCTGGATTATACTAGGAAAAACTGATGAACAGTGTGTGTAATCATAACAGAAAAAAAAGGACCAGGCCTATAAAAGTTAAATGAAATGTCAAACTTTAGAGGTAAGTTTAAAGATAGCCCCCACAAGTATGTTTTATGAAAATACACACATACACAAACACATAAATATATAAAATAATGTTTGCAAAGGCAATCAGATTTTGAAATTATTTCAATGATAACTGTGTCAAAGTATTAACCTTCTAGCTTAAAATTAAAATAATACAAATTTGCAAGGATTAATTATGTTTAAATTGCTTTACCTAGATAATACATACATGTTTTAGTATACTTATTAACCCCCAAAGATATTCTGTTTAAAAAAAGATGCTTGGGGCTATAAAATGCTACCAAACCAAAGAGGAAATTGAATTATCTTGGCACTGATGCCCAGGACACCCTCCCTCATTCTGATTTAACTGGTCTAACATTGGATTGTGGGCAGTATTCTAATACACAACCCAAACTGAATACTTCTGGATTAGGTGTGTATTGTGGTGAAATGGAAGATACCAGGACTGGTAGTTTTGCTGATATAATAAAAACAAAAAACAATCCCACCCTGGACTAAGATATAAATCTCATTACATCATTCTCCTATTTTAAACAATTATCCAAAGACCAAACTCTTCAATGGCTCTCACTGCTTGCTCTACATATTGAGGCCCTCTGTGATTTGGTTCCCAATGTTAACTCTTTACTCTCATCTCCTCTAATTAAGCAACAAGCAAATCAATATACTATACAGCCAAATAAAACTATTCACCTTCCTTAAATGTACCAAAGTATTTCATTTTTTCCCTTTTGTATTAATTAGTCTTTCTACAGAGAAGAGTATGCCCATTTTACCCAGTGTATCTAGCACGCTTCCTAACCTACTGCTCATCTTTAAGACCAAGTATACCTTATTCTGCAAAGTATTCCAGGAACCACCTAAAAAAAAATGATCACTTCATTCTTGATGCCACCTACATTTTTAGAAATATTTGTTAAGCAATTTACCATACTGCATTGTTCTATGTCTGTCTACTAATCTTTGAGTGCTTCTAAGAGATGTGAAGTTTGTATTTTTTTGGCTTGTTTTTAATTTTTCTATCTCCTATGCCTAATTCCCAAGACTGGCTTATGGACTATGAGTAAATTTTGCAGAATGAGAATAAAATTAAATAACCATTAATTCTAAATTTTCAACAAGAAAGTTAAATAAAAATTCTAAGTAGAAATGGTGATTTAAGAGGCATAAGCATTTCTGTGACTATAAAATGTAGCCCATGAATGTCCTTTATTTTCTATATTTTACCTTTATATTTTTTACTCCTTTCCAGTTTCAGCCAGAAAGCCTCAAACATGATAAATGGCAGTAATACATCAGAAAAGGTAGAAAAGAAAATGGAATAGGGTGCACAGGGAAATCAACTACTTCAGTAATTTCTATTTGTTAAGGTAAGGGGAATGATAAACAGAAGTGATTACTTTATTAATCTTTATGCTTTCAATTATGTATTTAAACACTCCTTAACAGTCATTTCTTAGAACAAGATTCAGAACATGTAAGCTGTCAAAATAATAAGTATTAAATTGGTAAATAATATCCACAGATAGTTAAATTCTGATCACTTTGAAATCACTTGAAAAGTGATATTTACTTACATATATATGGCTACCCATGTTGAGTATATGTTATCCATTTTATCTATATTTATAATCTGGAAAGACTAGTGTTCTTACCAGTTTAAAGAACAAGTGAAGCATCACACATTCTCGTTCACGACTTCTTAAATCCAGAAAAACGATTTGTACATTAACTAACAAGTTGCTAACAGCATAAAAAAACAAAACAAAACTGCTTTAAAAATTATGCCCCTCAAAATGAAACTTGATGAATTTAAAACTGGTTTCAATTACTAAGAAATCATTCTGCTAAAATAATCCTTAAAACTTTACTGTTGCCCCCCCCCCCTTTTTTTTTTGTCTGGGTATTTTCTCTCTTCACAAGACACCACATCTCATTCTGACTCAGAACAGGTTTTACAACTTCTTGCCCCTTTGGACTTGCAACTTCTACTTGTCTCATAACTTGTTCTCGACTAATTACGGACACGTAACATGTTACACAAAACTTAAACACCGAGGGGTTTTTTTTTTTTTTTTTTTTTAACGCCTAAGTAAGAGTGGGGAGGTTAGCATGATTTCCGGAAACCGGTATAGAAGAACTCATTCCCTAGTCTTTAAAAGCAAGCGAAATCGGAGAACAAGAAGGTGCAAAGGCTTAGACAGCAGGATGGAAAACAAAACACGAGTTTAGAAGAAGGGAAAAAAAAAAAGGAAAGAAAAAGAATTTTAGGTTCCAGGGCGAACGCTTATCCTGGGGCAAAATACAGACCCAAGGATGCCTAATTGAAATTGAACAGGCCCTCAAACATGCCTCCAGGCATCGTTAAGTGTTTTCCGTTTTGCTTCAGTAAAATCCAAAAATACTGTCTGGATCCTGGGAGAATTCTGGGAGAGACAGATTCTGAATTCTGTCTCTCCTGCACATTCTCCAGGTCTAAAATACCGAGTTTCTGCCCGCCCCCTGGACTAAGTCACTTCTCTGCGTCTAAGAATGCTTCGGTCCACCAAAAGCACTGCCTCCACTGTCCCCTTTCACGGGTCGGAGCCCGCTGGCTTGGATTCCAGCCGCTGCGCAGCTCTATCGCTCTCACCTTGGTTACAGAAGAGGCTCCACAGTTTAGCGAAGATCAGCCCCATCATGAGCACCTGGACGGGCCGCGGGGTCCCTCAGCAGCAGGTGCCGCTGCGCGGGGTCCCCCAACGCGGCGCTGGCTGTGTGGAAGCGAGGAGAAACCGGCTGAGACCGCGCCGCGAGGGCACTGGTTGACCCAGAAGCCTCGACCCGCCGCTCAGACACTGACCAGAAGGTGCCTAGTCGAAACCCTACCGGATAGTCCTTTGTTTCGAGTCCGCTGAGCCCAACGCCGACCCGTAGTCCCCTCAGTCTGAACCCACCTACCCACCAGAGCCTCTACCAGTCCCAAGCCCCGCCTCCGCTCCGCCTCTCCCCCCATCCCAGGACCACCCATCGCCGGAAGAACGACGCGTGACGACAGCGCGCTTACGTCAACCCACGCGTCCGACGTGGCGTTTCCTCAGTTTCACTTCCGGTAGGCGGAACCCGAAGTGGTTAGAATGTGGGAGATTATTGATTGAGAGTTGGGGATTTCCCTCTGTGCTCGCGTGTTTTCCCGTCACCGTTTGGAAAGTTGATGGGGCTCACTTTACTGCGTGGTCTAGAGTTTTGTCTGGAAACGAGGAAAAACCTGTTTCCCTGATTTAGCAGCCACTGTTTTGCTAGTCTTTTGTTAAGCTGAAGTGTAAAGTTTTGTCTCGCTGACTCTTGCGGTCATTTGGACAGGCAGTGTTGGGGTTCTGCCACGATTCTTAATTCTAAATAGGATTGATTGGGAGACGAACTATGGAATACCGGCAGTCACGGAGTTCAGTTGGTGGCTCCCCCCCCCCCCAGTTTTGCCAAGCATCAGGTAGGTTCCTGGAGCCTAAATCAAAATCCGTGCCTAAAACAATTGGAAAAGGAGAGCCTCAGCTAGGTGTAATGCAAGGGTAACTCCCTTGCTTACTATGCTCAGGGCCATGAGGGGGAAAAAGCCTGGAATGAGAGAAAACTGATTTTGAAACCAGTTGACCAAGCAAGCTTTGTATAAGAGACTTTGAACTTTAGTCCGGAGGTAGGGTGGCCCTTTAATTTGCTAAAATATTTGATCTCCTGTACAAGAAGAACTTAACACAAAGTCCTCCCAATGCTAGGGTTCTAAGACCCTTTTAAAACTTGCATGCAGCTGGGCGCGGTAGTGTGTGCCTGTAATCTCAGTGGCTCAAGGCCGAGGCAGAAGGATCAGAGTTCAAAGCCAGCTTCAGCAATTTAGCAAGGTCCTGTCTCAAAATATAAAAAAGGCTGGGAATGTGGCTCAGTGCTTAAGCATCCCTGGGTTCAATCCTTGGTACCAAAAAAAAGGTACTTTCTTCAACTTTATGGTACTAAAGGCAAGCTTCAACTTATATAGGAAAAAAGGGATGTGCTGAATCTTTGCAAATTAATTTTAATGACCATCCTTTTGACTGTAAACTATCGTGTGTTTGTAAACAGAGGCTTAATCCATTATATCCCTGAGTCCTTTATAAAGAACACTTATAAAACTTTAATTGAACAGCAATAATGTTTTCAATTTTTATGAGTGTCATATGGGACACCAGGACATAATGCAATGCGCTAAAGGGATATTTCTAGTCCTATTTTATTGTTGAAACTTTAGATTCTATAACAGCTTCTTTTGTTGTTAGACAAGAAGATAAACCACATTTTACATATTTCCCCCCTGGATTTCAGATTTCTAAAAAACAGTTAACCTTTTTAAAAAGAACTATCTTTATATAAAGGGAGATCTTTGAAGCAAAACTTTATATAAATTTTATTTTGTAAAAATTTTCATGATAGCCTAATGATATTTTAAAGACAGTAATATGAATTGTTCTTGCACTTTTAACAAAATGGAATTACTAAATTGAGCAATGCTGTTGGCATTTTTATTCATTTTAATTCTTTAAAATATTGGAAAATTTAGGCTCAGCGTGGTGGAACATGTCTGTAATCCTGGCAATTTGTGATAGAAGGATAGCAAGTTCCAGGCCAGCCTCAGCAATTTAGCAAGGCCCTTATCAACTTACAGACCCTGTCTCAAAATAAAAAAATAAGGTTGGGGATGTAGCTTGGTGGTAAATTGCCCTTGGGTTCAGCCTCTAAGAAAAAAAAGGCTGGGTGGGGTGGGTGGGTGGGTTGGGGAGACAAAGAAAATATTTGAAAAATTTATGTTAAAAACTTTGTTTTCTCCCCCCCCCCCCACTTTTCCATTCAGTTACACCCCCAACCTATTTGTTTTAGACTTGGTCTTGCTAAATGCTGAGGCTGTCCTCAAACTTTTGATTTTTTTGCCTCAGCCTCCAGAGTGGCTGGGAATACAGGTTTACAGCACCATGCCTAAATTTTTAACACCCTTTCTATGAACAGTTAATGGGATAGCTCTAACATTAGATTTTTTTTTTTTTTTTCCATTTAAAAAAGTTATATTTACAGGGTTTGAGGATGTGGCTCAGTGGTAAAGTGCTGCCTAGCCTGTGTGAGGCCCTGGGTTCAATATAAAACACTGCAACAGGGGCTGGGAAAGTTTTATTTATAGGTCAAAGCAGTGGCATGTGTTTATAATCGGAGCCACATGTGAAGCTGAGGCACAGTGATTGCAAATTTGAGGCCCAACAAGACAATTTAGTGAATCCATGGCCTGGAACTTGCTATCCTGTCACAAATTGCTAGGCGCCCATGTCTCAGTGCTGGGGATGTAACTAATAAATAAATAAATAGTTCATGGTATAATGTTCCTGGGTTCAAACCCCAGTACCGCTGGGGGCAAAAAGAAAGCAAGAAAACAAAAAAGTTTTACTTAAACTTTTAAATTTGAAATTTTTACTAACTAAAAACTGAATATTATTGGTTTAAAGAATATATTGTATATTATGTAAAACAAATCATGCTGATATACTTTCTGAGTTGTTAGAAAAAAGACACCTCAGTTCACATTGAATGTTTTATTAACTGTAAATCGTAGTAGGAATAATTGTGAAGAATTGAAGTGGAAAATTGAAATAATCTATTTTTTAAAATAGCCCTTAGCAACGTAATTTCTCCCTGAATTTTTTAAAATCCCTTAAAATCTTTAAAACTAATTTTGGTGTAGTCCTTGATCTAGAGGAGATATCAAATTCTATGGAATAATACTATTTGAAAATAAATATATTCTGAATACAGGAAATCAGAAAAGTCCTGATAGAAAACAACCGGATGAAACTAAAGCCAGATTTACAGATAGGTAGTTAGTGTAGTTAGGTAAAACGGGTCTAATATCCAGTAAGATGAATAAAATGGAGGCCAGGAAACCAGAGCATCACTTGGGGAAATTGAAATGTTAATGTCCGGGAGGCCCAGAGCCCATCTTAAGGAAATGTTAATGAAGTAGCTCCCAGCAAACAGGGAAGTGCTAATCAAAGCTGCTCCAGGCCCTTCCTGCCCAGATTACTCCTGCAGCCCACCTATCTCCCACTTACATTCTATCACTGAAAGGTAAAGGAAAACAAAAGAGTGTGGGAAAGCTGAAAGAAGACCTCAGCTATAAAAAAGGGAAGACCTCGCCCTTCCATGGATTCTAACTTTTGGGTCCCCTTCTTCCTCTGGGAGAAGTCTTTTCTGCTGTCCTTTAATAAAGCTTCTACTTTCCACTCTACACTTGCCTAGGCATGCTTCTCTGGTGTTATACTTAAGCATTCAGGGAAGCAAGGACTCCTCACTGTTAAACAGCGGTAATAAAGCTATCATTAGGATTATGACTTTTTCATAACTACTTATTGTAAATTACTTCATTGAATTAAAAGGGAGCTCCAGTAAAATCTCTACAAAGTTCAACAAAATAAAGAAAAAAAAAAAAACTGAAAAAAATGTGTAAGTGCATACCTAGAACAAAACTGAATTTCAATGAAGGAAAATATTGAACAATTCCAGGAACTTAAAAAAAAAATCTAATATTTCTTAGAAGGAACTATTGTAAACTACAGATAATACTTAGAAGAACTAGCTACAGCTAGAATTGAATTCAATTTATTACTCAGATCAAGCGTTCAAGAAACAGTGTATTCTGCCAGCTAGGAATAAATCTTTAAAAAATAATTTGAAAAACTCCTCAATCTTTAAGGTAATGTCTATTGTGATTTTAGTGCAGTTGGTCAGCTTTCAGATGAGTTGGGATTGATAGATTTCCCATCAGGAAATTCTCTTTTGCCATATGGCCCAAGAAATCAATATAATTTCATTAATAAATGTCTGTAGAGAGACAAATGTTTTTTAGATGGTATAGGTTATACAAAAGTTAATATTTCTTCCCTATCAGTAGGAAGAGTATGTTGGTAAAATCCTAACAAAGTTCCTTTATGTTCACCAAGGGGACCCATAATATCTTGAGTTTCAAAACATATAAGTCAAATATCCTTAGGTCTGTGACTTTGGTCATGAGCCAATCAATGAGTATTATCATCTCTTCTGTATTTACAGCTAAATATGATCAGCCTTCCCACATTTAGGAAATGGGTCTCTTGAACAGGTGCTTGAAAGCATTCACATGAATACATGTGGTCTGCAAGGGATCTGCTGATTCTCTTCTTGATCAGTAGCAGTCACTATGGCTCATAAATTACCTGTGCACAGATTTTTAAAGCTGATCCAATCTCAAATTACCTAGGTCCTCTCCTCTTTAGAAACCAACTGTAACCCTCTTTCCTTTGCTACAACCCCCATTCCTTAGGTTGGAACCTCTTACACACATTTCCATAACACCTAAAACTTGCTATCTTCACTCCTCCCGAGATAGAAAAGTTAGTTCTGGTCTATCAGAATTTGCTTCATTTTAGTTTTTCCCTCCTGAGTGATCTTCAAATACATGGATAACACTATCTAACATTTATTAAGGTCTAACTTTGTTACAGTAGTGTTTAAAGCACTTTACCTAATTTAGTTTTCAGTAACAATATCAAGTAGGAAAATGAGTTACAAAAACTATAAACTTTCCTGAGGTTACAAAGTGTAATTTGAACTCTATCAAGCCTGGCACTAGAAATCACATACTTAACAATTACAGAGAGATGGGTCACCCAAGAATCCTGATAAACATCACACTTAAAAGTAATAAAAATTTTATTTTCCCGAATCTGTTCCTTTCTCAGGTGGGAAAGATGTATTCACAATAAGGCAGGCAGGTGCTAGGAGGCTGGGCGTGTAATCACAGCTGATACAGGAGTAGCCTCCTTTACAGATTAGCCTGGGCAATTTAGTGAGACCCTATCATAAAACAAAACGGGGAGGGATGGGGGCTTTGAGCAATGGAGGGGCGCTT